AAATACTCAAGACCGAGAACCGGATGTGAACGGGACAAAGCCCCATCACAAAATGACCATTAACTTTCTTTACAAATGTTCCCGACACACGTGTTCCGGTCGTAAAATAAAATAATATTTAAAGTGCTCTATTTTTCGTCCAATAAAAATGCTTCCCTCCTAATTATACTCGCTTCGTTTCTCGAGCCTGTTAAGCCATAAAAAAAAACGCTATAAAAGGGGTCACACGGAAGTTCAACAGTCAGTCTACAGACGGAGAGGAACCCGAAGGAGGCTACGCCGAAGGGCGGAGTCTCCTTCGGGGAGGTAAAACCGGCCCTGAACCCGTTTATACGGGTTCAAATGGGCTATTTTGGGTCCGAGCCTAATGGCTCGGAAATGCCCACGTTAAAAAGGCCTTGTGCCACATGACGCCCTCGTGAGGGGACGACTAAATATAGTCCACAGGTGCCCAGGATAGAGACCTGTCACGTCCAGCTGCTGACAGCAGGGGAGCGTCAACCACCGTCAACATGTGTGAACTACTATGAGAGATCGACCAGATCCGAAAGCCGGTTTATGAACTTTACCACAAGGTAGCTGTCCCAAACCCACACGTTCCTGTTGAAATAAACCACGTAAATCTATTTCTACTGTTGTTGTATTTCTTTCTTGCAACCATACGCTTGTCTATAACAAAGTATTTTGTTGATTTAAGTTGATATTTCTAAACCGGACCTTTTTCCATCAGGCTCTAATCAGATTAACCACTCTCCCGTATTTTTCTCCTACTATCTACTCCTTTGCTTAGAATTATTAAATCTCTCAATACCTCAAGTCACTAATCACTTTCCATGCTCTCTAGTATGACACAACTAGGGTCACTGCCCTGTTACACGAGTGCCGACATGATTAAAAATGATTTCCTTAAATTCACTTCCCTCCAGCCTCGCATTGTGCTGAACGCTTGTTATTTCTCAAATAATTTTCTCCAAGACACAATTATTTGGTTTCAACATTCATTAAGCTTAAAAATTGCTGACCAAACATTTATGGTACGATTATTTTTTATGAGCTGAAAAAATTAATAGCAGCATGACTATTCCAGATGGCATGTGTATTTGGTAGAAAAGAGTACAACACTATTCGCCAGATGTTTGCTGAATCAAAATGGAAAAACTTACACAATTAAAAAGTAAATAAATACAGCATATAAATAAGTAATTAATAGATATTTCTGTTACTTCTGCAGCTGTTTCCTGTTTTACACAAGAGAGGTCAGGTTTTTATTTTTCATGAGTGGGCAAGGTGACCTTCTGTTCTCTAGGCTGTGTTGCTTTGATTATTATTGATTTCCCAGTTTTTTTTATGGTTTACTGATCTTTTGCAGGCTATTTAAAGCCAGAAAAAAAGTGTATAAGACTCATCATTATTTTGAAGAAAAATGAAAAGGGAAATATTGATTAAATGATTACCGATGTTAACTGCATTGGTGATGTGCATTTCACATTTGAAATCCAAACTAATGTTATAAATCACACATTCAAGTGAACTAAACCATTTCTCTCTCTCTCATATATATATATATATATATATATATATATATATTTTTATTTGTATTTGCGATAGAAATAATCTGTAAAAAATGTTATAAAGTTTAATGTACCTAGTTTTAAGTAGAGCTAAAATAACTAATGTGATTTCAGGCATTACTGTAAATCAGTTGGCAAATGTTTTCCGTGAACTGCAAAATCGTATTACCCTTTGTATTGCTAATGATGGAGGACATGTGGAAACTTAAATAAAATTTCAATAAACCCTTAAAAAAAAAATAGATTTACTTCTTTCTAATCCTTTTCACAAATTATTTCTATCACAAATACAAATTATAAATTTATATGCGCGTTTAAAATTCAGTAAATTTTAAAATGATGAAACAGAACTAATACTTTTAATTTAATTATATAATTAAATTTGAAGTTTTTAGCTTCGGTTTTTTGAAACATAGTTACTACTGTGTAGCAAAGAAACCATATTTTAAATCAGTTAATTTATAATATTTATGCTCTGTAAATTTACATTGAGCACTGTTTTGTAAAAATAAAAAAAATATCAATAAGAACACCAGATTATATATCTTACTGTTCTTTTTTTTTTATTATAATATATATATATATATATATATATATATATATATATATATATATATATATATATATTAGCTTAGATCTGACTTTTAATTGGTTAATTTAGACATACCCACAAGTATATTTTTTTTAATTCTGACCTTATGCCACCCCCACTTTTAACTTCCAAAAGGATAACTTGTTTTCAAATTTCTCTAATAAATCATTTTTATTACAAGTTATGTACCACTGCCTGAAGAAGAACTGTTATAGTTCTGAAACATGAAAGTTTTGTGTAGTGATGTAAAATGTTTTTATTGTAATCTATTATAATAAAAATATAATAATATTTTGCTCTACTTTATATTGAGCACATTTTTAAAAAGTAAATGCTACGAACTGTAGATTCTTACTCCATTTGGTCTTTCTCTTATTTGTATATGGGATAAGGATATATACATTTTTATATATCAAGAACAGTTTTGGAGGAAAGATGTATGACAAAGCAGAAAAAGTTTTCACATGGCACATTTCATCCCTTTGGACTTCATCAATACAAAAAACAAGCCAAAACTTGAAAGATGAATCTACTCTATCACCTGTAAGTATTGTCAGAAAAAATATATTAGAGAAACTTCAAGAAGTTTAAATAAAAGATTAAATGCACATAAAAGAGACATTTTAAAAAAACACCACACAAAATTCATTAGTTGTTCACCATAATGAAACAGACCACAATTTTGGCATAAAAAAAAATGCTACTCTAATTAAAAGAGAAAATAATTCACTAAGATGAAATATTTAGAAAGTGCTTTAATCACTAGTTTATCGAAAGTAAATTTGCAATCAGTTTCTCATGACATTTCAGCATTCTTGGCAGATCTTCTCTTATCACAATGTAGGATATTTAATGATAAAGATGATGGAAACAAAAATAAAATGAATCCGAATTAAATTGACTAGATTACAGACCCCAAAAATATAAAAAGATTATTCCTAAATTTAAAATTCCCAGTGTCTCTGGTTCAAGAGCATGTGCAGTCAGATCAACATAAACAAACCTAATAAAGGATAAAACACATCACATGCAAACTTTTGCACTTTGTCATACACACACACACATATACATATATATATATATATATAATTAAGCAATTCATCGAGTCTGGAAGAAACCTCAACAGAATAGACGGCTGTTTCGTCCTATATTTGGGACTCATCAGCAATGTGCATCTACTACCGAGAATTGAAACCCTGACAGTTACGTTATTATGCAAACGTCGTACCAACTGTTCCAACGGTCCTCGGTGATGAAGAAGTATCAAATCAGACTTGGTATAGCGCTGTTTGCATAATAACGTAATTATCAGGGTTTCAATTCTCAGTAGTGGATGCGCACTGCTGATGAGTCCCAAATATAGAACGAAACAGCCGTCCAGTGCTTTCTGCATTCTGTTGAGGTTTCTTCCAGGTTCGATGAATTAATTAATTATAATTATCAAATCCTCCTAATAATTTCTATCACTTGTATATCATTGCTTGAACTGGCTTCTAATGCTCTGGATGGAGCGGCTTGGGGATAGTAGTTGTTGCTCTCTCTCCTCCTAATAATTTCTATCATATATATATATATATATATATATATATATATATATATATATATATATATGACAAGTAAACAAACACTAAAAGTAATAAAATCTTTAGATGCTGACATGAACATGGTTTCAACCGTCAAGGTCTCTTCAGGTGGTCAATACAGTGAATTAACTCTCAAATATTAATTATATATGTATGAAAAAAGTTGAACTTGGCCTGTAGTATTCATTTGTTTTTTTTATAGTTGATTTTTGGTCAGTTCTAGGATTGGCTCGAGTTGTTTTTTTAAGGAGAGATTGGAAGACTCATGAGTCTCAGAAAGGTCTGTCAACATCTATCAGTCTGTCCAAAGAGGGGAAGAAAACTTCTGTTTGGACCAAAAAATCCTTCCTCAGTTTGTGTTATATAAGCTGATTTTTTTTTAAATTTGGGGAGTGAACCAACACAGACCATTTCTGCATCCATCCATTCATCTTACTTATTATAAAACGCAGATTGTGTGTGTGTGTCTGTATGTTTATATATTAGATCAGATTTCCTACATTTTTCAACCGATTTCAACAAAACTTCACAGGACTACATAAAATTACCTTGCGGTATTTCTGAAAGCACCAAAAATTGGAAAAACACAATTGTTTTTGCACGAAATCAATTTGAAAACATGATACTGTCGCCAGAATGAAAGGGGGACAACTCATATCGAGTTATACTTATTCAGAATGCTTTAAAAATTCCATTTACAAGACAATTGTTTATAATAAAATTCTATTCAATCGATAGACTCATAACGATTGAAAACAATGTTTTTGTTTGAGTTTGACCAATTCGAACCCCCCCCCAAAAAAACTAATTGAGACATGAGTGTCCGTCAACCTTAAACAATAATCTTTGTCAATTTTATTTTTCAGTCTTTATGATGGTCAATACTTGATCTATCTCTTACTGTTACATCCCCGGGCTCTACTGCTAGTATGCTCTATATCTATATATATATATATCTCTATACATATATATACATACATACATACATACATACATACATACATACATATATATATATATATATATATATATATATATATATATATAAAACAAGCAAAAAAAACATTAAAAATGGCTGATTAAAAACGTGCTCAGTAACAAGGTAGAAACACTAACATGTAGACCTATAAATAAATGTATAGGTAATAAAATCTTTAGATGCCGGATAGAAACTCAAATGCAGTTTTGACTACCAATGTCTCTTCAGGTGGTTAATGTAATGAATTAAATTGCCTTCCACACGCCAAAACTTAATTAAGATAATGTTACACCAGAAGCAATCAGATGTAGTTGGGGAGGTGGAAGTAATGATTTGTAGTTGGGGATATAGATAGATAGATAGATAGACAGACAGACAGCCTGAATGCTAGACCCTGTCAAAGGCTTTTGAGATGTCCAATGCCTGGGCTCCACCATTTTAATCTAGAGCATAATAAATTCTTTCTGCAAATATTGTCAATACATCAGCAGTTGGCCTGGAGAAACAAAAGCCATATTGTTGTTTTTAGAAATGGCCCTATGATAAGAGATGAATCAATGCATAGTAATAGATAGATAGATAGACAGATAGATAAAGAGAGATCATTGTAAGGGTTCATGCCTGCTTAGAAAATTAAAAAGAAAATTTTACAAAAAAATTTATTAGCCAAGTACATAGTCTCCATTTTTTTTAACAACTGTCTTCCATCATTCTACAAGCTTGTGGATGACATTTTGATAGAAACTTTGTGGTTTTTTTGGAAGAAGTCTGTATTGACTGACTGTAGAGGGTCTAATTTTTTGTCATTTAAATTTTTCTGTAGAGACTGAAAAAAAAAAATGAAAATCTGAAAGAACCTATTCAGGAGAATACGATGGGTGCAGAAAGTTTTCCTATTTCAACTCTTTAAGTTTCTGCAAGGTTTGTTTTGCAACGTAAAGTCTTGTGTTGAAGTGGCAGAAAATAACACCTTTTCGATTTGCCAAAATCAGTCATTTTTCTTGAACTGAAATATTTCAAATGGCGAAAGGCAGTTGAAATATGGATTTTCAAACTTTTAGCAATCTGTTCTCTCATAATCTTCATTTTAATCTCCATAATGACAAGCAGAGTATCTTGAGTGGCTTTGGAAGGTTGCCCAGAGCATGTTGATTTTTTTTTTTGTTTTTTTTTTAAGTAGAATCACCCCATGCAAGGCAGGAATGCCACTAAAACACAAGGAGTTACAGAGTGTGGAATAATTAGGAACAGAAACATTAATGATGACCAGAAAGAGAAGAGGGTAATCAGGTGGACAGTAGATTGTGATTGACATTGCATTTAAATTTTTGCAGATTAAAGTTGGCTGGAAGACTTGGAGCCGGAAGGGAGTTTCACAAGCAACTGTTAGCATAGAAATTACGGCTATATCAAGCTAGCTCAACTGAATTGATGATGTCTTGGCGACAGTCTAGTGCTGTGATTAAATTCAAAATGTCTAGGTATTATAGTGAACAGCTCATTTGTACAATCACCATGAAAGTATTTATAGAAAAGACAAAGGGGGGCAACCTTAAGGTGGTGTGAAAATCACTGGAGCTGAGCCACCAGATTAGGACCCATAATATTGCAGATTCTTCTTTGGATACTATCAAGTAAGTCACGGTAAATAGCAGAGGCACCAAACTATATGTGGCAGTAATATTCTAAGCATAGGCAAATGGTAGACTTATAGATATACAAAATAGATTCTGGAGGGAAAAAAACTGTCTTGCCTGGCATAGTAAACTGACTTTCTTAGCAGCTGATATAGCAATGGATTCAATATAGTCTTTCCACTTCAAATCAGCCGAAAATGTGAGCCTGAGAAGGCACAATGAATCACTGATGGAAGGCAGCAAGGGTTCTCACAGATGAAGTTTAGTTTTAGAGGTGTTAAAATTAACAAGCCATCTCTTGCCCCAGTTAATTATGGACTTGAGGTCATTTTGGACACTAGCTGCCATTTTGACCTTGTCTGATAAGCCTTGCTATCAAGGCAGGAGTAAATTGTTGTGTCATCAGCATAGATACCAAATTGAAAGCTGATGTCATCAGTAAGGTCATTGATGAAAATTAAAACTAGAGTAGAACCAAGGACAGAGCCCTGAGGACACCTGCGTTAGTATGAAAGGACCTAGAAGAGTGGCCATTCAGGATGAGTCTCATTTGATAAAAAAGACTGGATCAGTTAAAAAAAAAAGAAAAAAAGTGTCCCGATACACCATAACTTTTCAGTTTGTAGAGAAAACCTGAATGCTAGACCCTGTCAAAGGCTTTTGAGATGTCCAATGCTTGGGCTTCACCATTTTAATCTAGAGCATAATAAACTCTTTCTGCAAATATTGTCAATACATCAGCAGTTGGCCTGGAGAAACAAAAGCCATATTGTTGTTTTTAGAAATGGCCCTATGATAAGAGATGAATCAATTCAGCATTGATTAGGGTCTCTAGGAGTTTCCCAAAAACAGGTAGAAGGCTAACAGGAAGAGTTGGAAGAGTCAAACAGCTCACCAGAGTTCTTTAAAACTGAAACAACAGATGATGACTTGCATGCAGGTAGAAAAGTTTGAGGCGTCGGGTATGAACTTTTGAAATGAGCCGAGATCATATATATAAGGGGACACTGAGGTCCACACCAAGTGGTGACAGTCTGTTTCAGGCTTGAATGCAATCTTCAGACCATGAAGACTGCATTCAAGGATGAAATAGACATTGTTTACTTTTATATTTACATACTGTAGTATGTGGAGTAATGGATTGTGGCTCTGATTGAGGAATCTGTGAGCCAAATTTAAATTCAAATTCATTACATCCACTTGCGTGCTAATATCCTTGTGAATCCATCACTTTTCTCCTCAGCTATCAACAAATAGCAGGAGAGACTGGATTCTATAGTCTTGGGTGGCAGCCGGTATAGGAGAAGGAAAACTCTGTATTTAAAGAAGCTAAATGTGGAGTGGGGACCTGAAGGCTGTTAATAACTCTGCACTATCTGGCATTCTCACAGCCTGCTTTTCTCTCCCTAGACGTGATACACCTGTGTGCCCTGGGATTATAGATGTAGAAAGAGAGGGTTGCTGTAGCTCAAAGCAAACCATTGCAACCTGCACAAGGCACCTAGCTGTACTAGGATCATCATTGATTCTCAATGAACTCCTTTCATTTAGATATGCACTATCTCTGATATTGCACCCTTTTACCTATAAATATAGCATACCTTAAAACTATATTTTATCATATATGTATATATATATATATATATATTATATATATATATATATATATATTTTGATCATACATTGTTCTATGTCTCAGAATCGTAGATCCCTTGTAGGTCCCATATCAATCATCTGGATGTCTTCCACAAAAGTTGTCTCTATGTGATCTGTGGCTATACTTTTCATGATATGATATCCAATGTTGATCTTCTCACAAAATGCAACATCGGTGGAATTGAGACTTTCCTGATGCAGTAACAACTTCGCTGAGATGGTCATGTTGCAAGGATGAGTAACGACAAAATACTTAAGGTCCACATGTATAGCCAGCTTCACAGTTGGCAAAGGACTGTTGGATGGCTATGGCTCAGATATAAAGACAAGCTAAAGATTAACCTCTCAGCTGTCAATGTGCCTCATACTAACATCAAACGAGTTGTCCTGGACAGAAATAACTGGAGATATTTGTGCCAGAGTAGCAACAGAATTTTCTAAATCAGTTGTATGGACCAACTAAGAGATGAAAGACAACAGCAAAAAGTGTCTGCAAATATTCATGTGGCTATGTCTTGAGATTATTGCTGTGGCATAATATGTGGACTTGTATGCAGGTTACTAACGAGATTTACGCGTCATATACGATACAAACAAAAAACCTAGGTTGTTGGACACAAGCAGATTTTCACATTAAATTTTAACATTATTTACATTAATCGGACTATTGTCCTCATCTTTGTCGACATATTTATTACAACGTTTCGGCTGTTGTATGCTCTGGCCTTCTTCAGGTGGTTGGAATGTCGAACTAAACCCTTTATTTCACTTGCTGGGGTATACTGTTCTAGTTCCACGTACCATGTTTAATGGATGTCAGTTATCAGTTATCTCCTGTTAATTTTCCCTCTGAAAATTCTCCACTGCCATGACCAGGTATTGAACTCACACTCTCTGGGTCCTGTCACTGGATCTAACCAATGCCTTTATCCACTGTGATCATTGACAGATATTAAATTTTAAGGTAAAAAATTTAATAAATTTTTCTTATATACCGAAAAATACAGTATTGTAAAAATCAATGATTCTTATTTTTTAATATAATTCATAAAGGCATTCCTCTTGTAAAATTAATTTATAATCAACCATGTCATTGCTCTGCAGTTCCTTATTAAATGTCGTTGCCAGTGCATGACACAAAGTCATTGTCAGGGAATTCCTCTATTAAGAACTCATTTCTGTCATAAATAACATACGATAAAAAAAACAAAAAAAAACACCCAATTCAAGAAACCAAAATTTTTTTTAATTTTTCAATAAAATACTTAATCATAAATTATCTTTTATAATGTCTTTTGTCAGTTCTCTGTCGGGCAAGTGAAGGATTGAACTGTGAATTGTACTGCCTGTCACGGTCGGAAAGATTCGATTCTTTGTCAGATTGACTTGGGATTTCTTCACCCTGCAGCTTGGCCATTAAAGCCAGGGCTCGGCTCCTTTCATTCTTCTCCCGTTGAAGACGCTCTGCTCTCAATTGGTCAATGGAGACACAGGAAGATGAGGATAACTTCTTGCATTTTTCTTTCTTTCTATCTCGCTTTTTCTCATTCTAAAAAAATAAAGGTGTTTTAAAACATAAATTTGACGAAGAGTATCATTTCTTTTTTTTTCACACCTGAGCACAACTTTTGAATATGAAAACAATTTATGGTGCTCTGGCAATAGAAATTTTACAACTAGATATGACAGTACACTATTTACATTATTCAGACTAGTGTCCTCATTGTTGTCACCATATTTATTACAACGTTTCGGCCGTTGTATATTCTGGCTTTCTTCAGGTGGTTGGAATGTCACTGGTCCGAATAATGTAAATAGTGTACATAATACCTCATCTCAGAAATATAGACAGATACTAGATATGACAGTATAGGAAATAAACCCCATTTCCAACACAATTACATTAACACATGAATACCATATTAAAACAGGTCCAAACATTATTTTCTACCAAATAACAGATAATATTACAAACATGCCAAAAAGATTCCACAATAAAGCATACGCCATTTTAATCAAAGTGTCTATTGGTTAGAAATTAACATCACCATGTGAAATATCTGACCAATCAGAGAAAACTAAACCCTATTTTTCTTGAGACTACTTTTGGGAAAATTTTCTGATAAAACCCAAACATTTCAACTGTCAAGAAACAGAGAAGAGATGCGGCTTGTCTCCAGGTCAAGCCAGACACAAGAGAAACTGTACTTTTTTTCTTTTTCCACGGTGCTGAAAGAAACATATGTCAGTGACTTCAAAATGGATCATCAAAAAGAAAAAAAAAAAAAAAGAAAAAAAAAGAAAAACAGCATGGACAGCAATTTCAAACGAATCAGCTCCAACAACAACAAAGATGATCAATGAATCATACATATTATAAAACCCAGGTTGTGTGTGTGTGTGTCTGTACGTTTATATATTGGATCGAATTTCCTACATTTTTCAACTGATTTCAACAAAACTTCACAGGACTACGTAAAATTAACTTGCGGCGGTTCTGACTGTGCCAAAAAATTGGAAAAACACAATTGTTTTTGCACGAAATCAATTTGAAAACACGAGGCATCACTGTCGAGAATGAAAGGGGGACAACTCATATCGAGTTATACTCATTATAAAACCCAGGTTGTTTGTGAATGTGTGTCTGTGTTCGTTTATATATGGGATTGGATTTCCTACATTTTTCAACCTCTTTCAACAAAACTTCACTTTTTTTTGGCAGGTAGTGTTTCTTATTGCACACTTTTTTCTTTATTTTTACATTCAGAATGCTTTAAAAATTCCATTTACAAGACAATTGTTTATAATAAAATTCTATTCAATTGGTAGACTCATAACGATTGAAAACAATGTTTAACATTTTTGAATTCATGTACATATGTTTGTTTAAGAAACAGGAATGAACTCATTATAAAAATCAAAATAGATAACACATAGATAAAGGTTGACTGAGGAACATTTGAAAACAATTCTCTTGGTTGGATGCAGCAATTCCAAAGCAAATATTGATTATATCTTGAAAGGTAAATGTCACTTTTTTCTTGCATTTATATTGGCTTTGGAGATCTGTATCTCGTCACTGTTCTTTGGTGAATCGAATCGAGTTCTCTCAGTCACTGTGTGTTTATCTAAAAAGAAATATGCTTAAATTCACCTTTATCCCTGTCGTGCGCCAACGGCTTAGTGGTAGAATCCCCGACTGACGCCAATTCAGTTGAGCTTCAGTCCTAGCGAGGGACAACCAGATGTCTAGCCACATTGATGAGCTGTGATACATCGAAACAGTCTGTCTGTGATGACAATATATATATATACCCAAGTATATAATTGGTATATACGGAATGAATTCCAATAACCAACAATTACTATTCTTAAAAAGAGTGCTCAATACAAAGTAGAGCAGATATAATTATTATTTATTATAACATGATGTTAAGATAAAATAAATTTATAAAAATATAAATAGGTTTATTTTATCTTCAACATCATCACTTGATAAGACAAGTGATGGTGTTGAAACAAAAATGGCTATTTTTGTAAATGATTTTATAACATACTTATGTTATAATTTTTTATAAATAATTTTTATAATATATATATATATATATATATATATATATATATATATATATATATATATATATATCAGGGTTATGACTTTTGCAAAATAATTGATTTCTTCTATCATAATTTCATGAACTTTTGTTAAAAAATAATGAATAAGGGTTTAATTCTGTTTATTTAAAAAAAAAAAAGATGTTATACCCAACACAAGATTTCTAAAATAGTATAAGTATAGTGATACTATGACTTTCTAGAACCTTCAAGAACTTGTTTTTGTTTATTTGTAAAGTTGTATGTTATTCTGTAGCTATAAACTATTAAATGCATTAAGGTTGCTGAATGAGGAATAACTAAAACAGAGGTTGGAAATGAAATGGTAATCTTTATAACATCAACAAAATACAATACTTGCCAGCAGCGTGAAGTAGGTAAACCACTGCTAGTGATGGACTACTTAGACAGGCATATTACCCCCACTTACAATAGTGTCCAATGTATTTATGAGGACTGAGACATATCCATTAGTGTTCATAGCTATGGTATATAACAACTATGTAGTTAGATCATTAGCAAATTGAAAAATAAAGCTTCTGAAATATCTTGATTTTTTTACTCTTATCGTGTATATGGTAAAATTGAATTTTCAGTTTGGAGTGACCTTTTTCAAGAACTAAAAACAAATTAACTTTTGAAAGTTCGATTTAGGACACAAGAACAAAAAACTTCATAACCATAATATAGAATTTTGAACCGAACCCTTTCTTCTGTCTGTGGAGGTAGATTCTTCTTGTGGGATTTGAACCCGAGTAGAATTGGCTATCCAATTTCCAATTCCAAGCTGGTATCCATTACACCACTTGTACCTAGTATTCTCAAGCAGTCACCAATCAAGTTATTGACCAGACTCAAAGTTAATTAACTTCGATGATTGGGTGAGAACCAGTGTTTCAACATGATATGGCCGTAAGCCTTCCCTAAGTATCTGTCTATATTTCTGAGATGAGGTATTATGTACACTATTTACATTATTCGGACTATTGTCCTCATCTTTGTCGCCATATTTATCACAACGTTTCGGCCCTTCAGTATTTGTCTATATTTCTGAGATGCGGTATTATGTACACTATTTACATTATTTGGACTATTGTCCTCATCTTTGTCACTATATTTATTACAAAGTTTCGTCCTTTAAGTATCTGTCTATATTTCTGAGATGAGGTATTATGTACACTATTTTCATTATTTAGACTATTGTCCTCATCTTTGTTGCCATATTTATCACAACATTTATCCTTGTGCCATGTGTCCTCAAGGACACATGACACAGTGGATAAAGGCGTTAGATCCAGTGACAGGACCCAAAGAGTCTGAGTTCAATACCTGGTTAAGGCAGTGGAGAACTTGGAAAGGGGAATTAACAGGAGATAACTGATAACTGACATCTATTAGACATGGCACGTGGAACTAGAACAGTCTACACCAATGAGTGAAATAAAGGGTTCAGTTCGACATTCCAACCACCTGAAGAAGGCTGGAGCATACAATAGCTGAAATATTGTGATAAATATGGCAACAAAGATGAGGACAATAGTCTGAATAATGTAAATAGTGTAGCCTTCCCTAATGATGAAAACATTGTAAAATCCCAACGTAGAGATTAATAAACAAAAGATGGATCTTGACTTGCAGAAGTTAATGTTTGTATCAAGATTACCTTGTCCTTTTTGTGTTTCTTGTCCTTTTTACTGAGATAGGCACGCATTTTTAGAAGAGGGTCATCATTGTCTCTTTTTTCTTTCTTTGTCTCAGTGCTGCAAATAAAAAAAAAAAAAAAAAACAGGTGAGAATTCCAAGAATTATTAATGTGGTTATATGGCACATTGATTATTATATATTGGTTTTCATAGAGAATATACAACTGTAACAGAGGAAGAATATTATGAATATGGATCATGTTCTGGTTAACCAATAAAATCATATTGTAATATAGAAACATTCTGTAAAACATGGAAACCTTGCTGAAAAAGTGAGAAATACTTGCACTATTGCTTAAAAAGTGAAAACAGCTTTCAGGAAACATAGACCTTCATGCCTGCAAGAAACAGTGACAAAAGAACAGTTTATCCTATGACACCACATTTTAACTATCTTCACTCTTCGGCAATGTTTGTTGTTTTAAAAGTGATGATTAGAATTGTAATAAAACCTAAATACATGACGAAAGCAAATTTATACATTTTCTTTGTTCTTGAGAATAGGCAACAAAAATAATATACATTATTAGATTGTTTATTTATGCTATTTATTTATTGTTTCTTGGAATGGTTGGTAAAACATCAGTTAACTGTTGTTTCAAACTTTATAAAATAGTAAATAATAAGGACTTCTTTATAGATGGTTCACATATTTTAATAATTTATTAAAGGTTTATAAATTTATGAATAAAAAAAATTTTCACATTTATTTCTTTATAAATTAATAAATGATAAATTTTGTATTGTATTATTTCTAATTGTATTAGTTTTTAGAATGTTGTAAATATAAAATTATTCTTGTAAATAAACAAGATGAGAACACAAACATCCAACCAACCAATCATCTTTGTTGCCATATTTATCACAATATTTCAGCTATTGTATGCTCTGGACTTCTTCAGGGGGTTGGAATGTTGAACTGAACCCTTTATTTCTAATTGTATTAGTTTTTAGAATGTTGTAAATATAAAATTATTCTTGTAAACAAACAAGATGAGAACACAAACATCCAACCAACCAATCATCTTTGTTGCCATATTTATCACAATATTTCAGCTATTGTATGCTCTGGCCTTCTTCAGGGGGTTGGAATGTTGAACTGAACCCTTTATTTCTAATTGTATTAGTTTTTTAGAATGTTGTAAATATAAAATTATTCTTGTAAATAAACAAGATGAGAACACAACCAACCAACCAATCATCTTTGTTGCCATATTTATCACAATATTTCAGCTATTGTATGCTCTGGCCTTCTTCAGGGGGTTGGAATGTTGAACTGAACCCTTTATTTCTAATTGTATTAGTTTTTTAGAATGTTGTAAATATAAAATTATTCTTGTAAATAAACAAGATGAGAACACAACCAACCAACCAATCATCTTTGTTGCCATATTTATCACAATATTTCAGCTATTGTATGCTCTGGCCTTCTTCAGGGGGTTGGAATGTTGAACTGAACCCTTTATTTCTAATTGTATTAGTTTTTAGAATGTTGTAAATATAAAATTATTCTTGTAAATAAACAAGATGAGAACACAAACATCCAACCAACCAATCATCTTTGTTGCCATATTTATCACAATATTTCAGCTATTGTATGCTCTGGCCTTCTTCAGGGGGTTGGAATGTTGAACTGAACCCTTTATTTCTAATTGTATTAGTTTTTAGAATGTTGTAAATATAAAATTATTCTTGTAAATAAACAAGATGAGAACACAACCAACCAACCAATCATCTTTGTTGCCATATTTATCACAATATTTCAGCTATTGTATGCTCTGGCCTTCTTCAGGGGGTTGGAATGTTGAACTGAACCCTTTATTTCTAATTGTATTAGTTTTTAGAATGTTGTAAATATAAAATTATTCTTGTAAATAAACAAGATGAGAACACAACCAACCAACCAATCATCTTTGTTGCCATATTTATCACAATATTTCAGCTATTGTATGCTCTGGCCTTCTTCAGGGGGTTGGAATGTTGAACTGAACCCTTTATTTCTAATTGTATTAGTTTTTAGAATGTTGTAAATATAAAATTATTCTTGTAAATAAACAAGATGAGAACACAACCAACCAACCAATCATCTTTGTTGCCATATTTATCACAATATTTCAGCTATTGTATGCTCTGGCCTTCTTCAGGGGTTGGAATGTTGAACTGAACCCTTTATTTCTAATTGTATTAGTTTTTAGTATGTTGTAAATATAAAATTATTCTTGTAAATAAACAAGATGAGAACACAAACATCCAACCAACCAATCATCTTTGTTGCCATATTTATCACAATATTTCAGCTATTGTCTACTCTGGCCTTCTTCAGGGGGTTGGAATGTTGAACTGAACCCTTTATTTCACTCACTGGTCTAGACTGTTCTAGTTCCACGTGCCATGTCTAATAGCTGTCAGTTATCAGTTATCTCCTGTTAATAGTACTGTATATTATGTATATATATATATATATATATATATATATATAAAAGACATTTTTATGTTTAACGTTGTTATTTATAGATACAAGTATTTAAGCAAATGCTCTGTTTATGATAAACAGTATTAAATAACATTTACCGGCCTGAATGTCCGAGAAATTTTCATAGAAAATATTCGTTCTTTGACAGGATTCAACCTGCATCCTATACGGAACCGTTATATACGCTGACGTGCCTTAACCGTTTCGCCACAAAGAACCTTTTTCGGTAGACAAGGTCGAATTTACTGCTTATAAACTTCAATCTTCCATGAATCTCGTACATTCATAACTGCTCTGGCGTGTATCGAATGTAAACAAATGACGTCATATATTAAGAAATGGACAAGGTCCGACAATTTATTTATTAAAGACATTTTTATGTTTAACGTTGTTATTTATAGATACAAGTATTTAAGCAAATATTATGATGATTATGATGATAGGATGCAGGTTTCCTGGAACAAATTTTTCAGGCCGGTTCTCGGACATTCAGTTATTTAATACTATTTAATACTGTTTACAGAAACAGAGCATTTGCTTAAATACTTGTATCTATAAATAACAACGTTAAACATAAAAATGTCTTTAATAAATAAATTGTCGGACCGTGTCCATTTCTTAATATATATATATATATATATATATATATATATGTATATGTATGTATAACTTAATTTGGCATTAAATGACCTACAGTGGTTGATATGCCATAAAACCCAAATAAATAAGTAGTGTTTAATATTTTTGTTGTAAATTCTCAAGAACAAAAAAAAATGTATAAATTCACTTTCATCATGTGTTTAGGTTTTATTTCAATTCTAATCTTTGCTTTTTAAAAAACAATAAACATTGCCAAAGAGTGAGAGTAGTTAAAAAATCAGTGTCATGGTGAAAAAAAAATGTCCTTTTGACAATATGTCTTATTGTGTGCACATTTATCCATGTTTGTCAAGCTTTCAATGAGTGTGAGAAAAAAAAACACAATGTGCCATAAATAACTAATTTCTTCTACAAAGTTGAGAAGATATTAAAGAAGGTAAAGTGTTGTATAGCCTCCTACTGCTAGGAAGGTCATCAGTACCAATTTATCCACATGTATCTTTTCTTTCTTGTCTTTCCCTGGCCGGTGTTCTCCGGTTCTTTTGGTTCATAGATCAAAGAGAACTTCAACACAGGGAATTTTAAACTTAACTAGTTTATTAACGTTGACGCATACATCTAACTAGATGGGGTTGCTCTCTCTCTCTCCACTGGGAGGTGTTGCAGTCACGAAAGGAAAACGTTTGATGGTTAAGACTTGACTCTGAAATCTCTGTCTATATCTCTATCATTCCCATGCTTGTCTAGCCAATCAAAATCGACTTCCTTTATTTTGTCTTGTAACTGACCTCAAAAGTCAGACCCAGGAAGACTGAGCAGAGTTACACTTCTCAAAAAGATAATAGTCTGCTAAACTATTATTTAACAAAAGTTCAATGAGCCACATCAATATCCTAGTAGAATAAATGCTTTTTTTTTTTTGCTTTTCTTTTACAAGTTGGCAGATATTGAAGAAAGGCACAAGGAATGAACTACATCCAGGTAGAATAAGTTTCTTTTTAGTTTTTTTAAGTTAGAGAGTAAACACTGAATACTAAATGCTGTCTTATCTTTGAACTGACTTATAACAAGCAGAAATCTTTAGTATGTAGCGGTGTAGAAATTTTGAATGTTGAAAAATTATGACACAAGACCAAGGCGATCCTTATAAGTTAAGGATCATCTTGCTCAAGAACAAATGTAATCACCAGAGAAGACTTTGACAATTTGTATTTTTCACAATAATGGTTTGCTCTTCCCTCTTGAATAAACAAGACGGGTGTGCTTATTAAAATTTTGAAAATTAAGAGACCACCAACACAGCACTTTATTTGACCTCCACCCACCAGCCTTGTTCATTCAAACTCCTCCCTGGTATTTTGAACAGGAGTAGAGATTTATCCCTTGTTTCCTGTTTAGGTTTCTAGTTCATTCTAAAGTCTTTTTCATTCTCTTTCACTTCCAGTAGCCCTTTGCATCTTAGTGGCATTATCACCTTGCTAAGGGTGAATAGAGGAGTAGAGGTTTATCTCATGTTTCCTGTTTAGGATTGGGTTTCTGGTTCCTTCTAAAGTCTGCTCATTCTCTTTCACTCCCAGTAGCCCCTTGCATCTTAGTGGCATTATCACCTTGCTAAGGGTGAATAGAGGAGTAGAGGTTTATCCCTTGTTTCCTGTTTAGGATTGGGTTTCTGGTTCCTTCTAAAGTCTTTTTTTCATTCTCTTTTCACTCCCAGTAGCCCTTGCATCTTAGTGGCATTATCACCTTGCTTGGGGTGAATAGAGGAGTAGAGGTTTATCCCTTGTTTCCTGTTTAGGATTGGGTTTCTGGTTCCTTCTAAAGTCTTTTTCATTCTCTTTCACTCCCAGTAGCCCCTTGCATCTTAGTGGCATTATCACCTTGCTTGGGGTGAATAGAGGAATAGAGGTTTATCCCTTGATTCCTGTTTAGGATTGGGTTTCTGGTTCCTTCTAAAGTCTTTTCATTCTCTTTCACTCCCAGTAACCCCTTGCATTTTAGTAACATTATCGCATTGCTTGTGGTTAACTGATTAAAAAAAAAAATTAAAAATTACAGCAAATATTGCATTTCATAAAAATTAATGTTTATTGATTTTAAATTGTGCAATCACCTCCCACCCTTTATTTTCTATTATATTCTCTCTTTGGAAAAAAATATCCTCCTTTATTTGAACAAACCATTTCATCCCATGCCAGCAAATGATGCATGTCATAAAAAATGAATATTTATTGATCTTAAAATGTGCAATCAGTTCCCACTCATTGTGAAAAATTATTTGCCATCTTTGGAAAAAAAAGTTCCTCCTCCTTTATTTGAATCTGTCCCATTTATTAAAATTCCATGATGGCAAAAAAAAAAAAAAAAAAAAAATGAATGCTTATTAATCTTGACTCTGCATTTTGTTTCCACTCATTTTTTGATTATTTTTTTTTTTTTGTTTTTATCTTTGGGAAAAAAGTACCCTTCCCTTTGACACGTCTCTCCATTCATTAAATTTTAGGAAGTAGAAAAGCCCACCTATCCCCATTTATTGGGTACTGTTGTTTATTCAAGATGTAAGAGTATTTAAATAAGCTTTTTAACTTTAAATTAGATATGATTGATTTTCAAACAATCAGAATTTTTTTTTGACATGACATATAGATAAATAATATATATTGTTCTTCAATCACATGGATGGATTTTATTCTGTATAAAGGAAATTTTCCTTACACTTTTGCTTCATTATCAAGACGTAGTTTCTTGTTTTGCAAATACCAAGGTGGTGTAACTGGAAAAAAAAAAAAGAGAGCGAGAGAAGGTGAATTTATTTTCATTATTTTCTCAATTGGCAAATGGCAAATACACATGTACATCAATAAGTTCACAGACTAATAGTGAAAAATAAATAAAATATGCATTTATTTTATATGACAAATAATTCTCAACATAATGTCAATGAAGGTGTAGGTGGTACTGATAGATGACTCAAGATTCAGCACCACAGGTCAGCATCATAGGCTTGCAGACTTTTTCTTTGTTGGTTAATTGATTCGTTTTTACAGTTTATCGACCCATTGCAGGTTATTTAAAGCCAGAAAATATTTTTAGATTTTAAGAATTTTTTTTCTTTAGAAGCTAATAATGGTTTAATTTTGATCTCCAATTAACAATTCCGAACCATTATCCCTTACACCATCCACACATCCAAGCTTAGAGTACCTGGTAAATGATCACCCATCTAGGTACTAACCAGTTAATGTTGCTTAACTTCAGTGATTGTACTAGAACTGGTTTTTCAACATGATGTAACAGTATGCCCTTTTTCCTTTGTATAGTGAAGAGATTTTCAAAAGATAACTTTCGTTCACAGAAATGTCGAGCAAGACGTGATGTGCAGACCTCTTTTTTTGCGGGGGGGGGATAGAGGGGGTGCAGAAAAACCTGAATTTCTGGTTGTCTTTCATTAAACCAAAATTAGCTTGACTCAAATAAAGATATCTTTTCAAGAACAAAAAGCCAACTTGATTTAATAAGGACCATGGAAATAGCAATGCATTAACACTAAGTGGACGGATATATGGGTATTGTAACGATCATCAGCATGGAAAGTGGAGTCAGTGAGCAGAGTAGAAATTATGTCCAAGTCTGTTGCATTCACTTTCACACAAATGCCCTTGGAAAAGGGTCGTAAATCCATCTCTTCTCCCCATGTCTACCTATGGGTTAAATAAAAGCAAACACTGGGTTCTCAATCTTTATATGGACACCAGTTTAGGAGAAAGACAATTTTGAATTCAAAACTGTGGGGAAGACAATGATAAAACACAGAGCTATCTTTCTCAAGTAGATCTGGCAACTCATGGATAAAATCATATTGATTTATTTGCTCCTTTTTTTTATGGCTTATCAACCTCTTGTGGATTATTTAACACTGAAACATATTTCAGACTATGTTCCCAAGTGATTCCTCATCTAAGTGCTGACTGTGTTTGACACTAAAACAGAAAAAGAAGCTGTGGAGAACCATGATTGCTAATATCTTGAAATTGCGCCTTCTCAAAGTTACGTTTTCAGCTGACATGAAGTGGAAAGATTACATTGAATCCATTTGCTAGGTCCGCTGCTAAGAAAGTTGGTTCACTGTGCCATGCTAGACACTTTTTCACCTTTGAATTTATCTTGCATATTTATAAGTCTACCATTTGCCCAGACCTAGATTAATGATGTCACATATGGCCCGGTGCTCCTGCTGTGTATTTAGAGATTGTTGATGGAATCCAAAGAACAATCAGCAATATTGTTAGTCTTGACTTGGTATTTTGGCTTCAGTTATTCCCCCCCCCCGCCCTGCATAACATAGCTTCCCTGTACCTTTCCTATAAATACTTTCTTGGTAATTGTTCAGATAAACTCTTCGCTATGGTATATAGACTTTATGACTAGATTGGTGGCAAGGTCTGATAAATTCACAGTTCAATTGGCTAGATGCAACCATACGTTCTATGCTGACAGTTCTTTTCTCGCACTTCCCGCTTGTGGAACTCTTTTCTGGCTTCATGCTTACCCAGCCAAATTTGATCATGAAAACTTTAAATGCAATGTCAATTGTTATCTATTGTCTTTTTGATTCTGCTTCTATTGTTCTCACTCCTTAATAATGTTTCTCCTTTTCTTATTTTTTCATTTGTGACTTAGTGGCTTTCCTGCTTTGCTTGGGTTGAAATGAGTAAAACAAAAATTAAACGCTGTTTACATAAAAGATTTGTGATTATCAGGAACTTGTTAAAACAATGCACATCCAACTTCCATTAGAGACCAAAAAAAAAAAAAAAAAAAAAAAAAAAAAAAAAAAAAGCAGTTAAAATACCAAATCTAAAAAGACAGTCATGTGAAGGTTGGTTATAATTTAGGCAATTACTAAATTCACATCAGCCTGCTACATAGTTGTAAACGTGGGGCACCTAGTGAGGATCAAACTTGCACATCTGTAGAAAGAGCCAGCTTCATTAGTTCACCAACCTTTAACCCACAAGGTTTGGTTTGGTTTGTTTTACGGTATATCAACCTCAATGGGTTATTTAATGCCAACAGCTTTTTTTTCCTGGTAATATTTTGTTTTGTCAAAAATCTATTTCTGGTAATATTTTTTTCCTCAAAAATGTATAGCTGGTAATATTATTTTCAAAAATGTATTACTGGTATTTTTTTTTTTCAAATAATAGTAATATTTTTTTTTCTTCAAAAATTTATTTCTGGTAATAATTTTTTACAAAGTTTTCCTGGTATAGGTTTTAAACCTATTTATACACTTTCATAATGTTGTTTATCTTAGTTTTCGGGTTAACTATTTGCCCATAGCTGGGACCCTAACAGGTGCTACTACCCCGGGTCAGGGTGGACCTGGGAACACCAGCAATTAAGAGGTGGTTCCACGCTCCTCAAAACCTCCTGATCAGAGGCCTTGCTGCTGGACGTAGTTTATCGTCTTACCCAGGACGCTGATGTAGTTTATCATCATACATAGGATGGTTAACCCACAAGGAAGTGCCCAAAATGTTTAGTCTGCTACAAAGTCACAAGGGTGGGGCACCTAGTGAAGATCAAATTCTGCAGTAATAGTTAAACCTTACCCTGTGATTCCACGGCACTTTCTCCAAGGTAGGTAAGTAATCCAATTTTTCTCTCCCATTTTTCTTTCTCGGCTTTCTTTTCGGCTTCGTGTTCTGCATTTTTTGCAAGATTCTGACGCTGAAATAGGGAGTTTGAAAACAAATAGTAAAGAGGATACATTTACGAATATACAAAGGTAGAGATGTGTATGTCATTATACAGGGCGTGGTAGAAGTACTTCCAACATATACCACCCCCATAATAGTAAGATATGATAAAATATACTTTTAAGGTATGCTATATTTATGGACAAAAGTGTATGTAAATATAAAAGTGGACATTGAAATCAACACTTAGAGCAACAGTCTGTTTCAAGCTTATGCACAATAGTCAAGCCATGACTTTAATGTTCACATGGCTATATATATATATCGATTCAACTCTTCCGTCGAATCTGACGTACAAGGGTCAAACAGATCAGTTCCCAGGAAACCGACAACCCAACAACAGCACATGAGAATTGATTATAGTGGTGAAGGTTTAGTGCAGGACCATCCACACTTTTTGAAGGGCCGAATACAGAGACCTGGTGCACTACGTGCCACAAGGTCCCCAAACGACCCTCCGCAGGTTTTGAATTCAGAGTTGTCCTTCTCCTAGACCAGTTGCCATCCAAGGCTATAGAACCCAGTCTGTCCTGCTATTTAACCCATAGCTGGAGGGAGAAGAAGACGATTCACACCTTTCCCAAGGGTATTAGCACGTAAGTGAATGTAATGGATTCGACTGGAATTCGAACTCGGCTCTCCGATTCCTCAATCCAAGTGGAGTCATGGAGATATATATATATATATATATATATATATATACATACATACATACATTTTAATATGAGCAGTACTGAAAAATTCTCAGCTTGACCAAGAAAGATTGCTCTGTTTTTTTGTTTTTTTTAAGACTTATCAAACTTTTGCTGAATATTTAAAGCTAGAAAATATTTTTCCATTGTAAAAATTTTTAGGAGATAATGTTTATTGATATATGGTCTACAGCTGGGGCGGGGGTGAGAAGAGGTGGCTTCACACCTTTCCCAAGGTGAGTGAATATAATGAACCTGACTGGAATTGGAACTCAGCTCTCCAATTTCCAATTCCAAGTCATTTATCCATTACACCACCTGCACATCCAAACTTACAGCACTCGGTATTCCCAAGTTGTCACCCATCTAGGTAATAATCAGGCTTGACATTGCTTAACTTTGGTAATCAAACTTGATGTGGCCATAAGCAAAATAAAAAAAAATTAATAATAAGATATAGTAATTATATCTGAAATATAATAATAATAATAAAAATATTAAAATAGTGAGTTATCATACAAAATGGACATGGCATTTTATACTCCTGCTTTAGTTTATTTAGAGTATATTAAATATTTCTTCATTGCAATTATCTTTTGTCCAAATTATCTCAATGATAAAAAAGAAATGATTGCTACATTAACTTACCTCTTCTTTTTCTATCTCTGAGAAGAAATTAATGTGTGTGGGTGCTGGAGCTTCCAAGGTAACATGTTCAACATCTGTGTCACTGATATCCAAGCCTTTAATGGCACGTTGGCTTTTTGCCTTCTTCCGAAGTAACTCAGTTCTGGTTTCTTGCTCCTGTTAACAAGAGGAAAATAATGTTATTTTCTGGCACACTGACTCCAAATTGGGTCTTACCATGCTGTAAAGTCATGCCAGTAATGTCTGATAAGAATACAAGACTAAGTTTTTCATGAATGAATCGTTTATTCTCTCTTGGATTCCATCAATTTAAGGTTGGCTATATCGAGGGTATGTGGTTTCAATTTTTTTTTTTCAAACATTCAATCTTCTTGCTAGGATGTGAGTGATTCTTGCAGGTTGAGTGTTTATATATTTCCTGTTATATTTGTTTTTTTAACAATAATGTTTATCCTGTACAAAGCCTAAGAGCCTCTCAAGATAGAGGGTTACAGAGTAAGGTACATTTTACTGGGATATGTATGGAAGGTAACTGTAAACCCTATATTTGGAGAGGTTAAGATTGTAGTAATCATGTTTCATTGGTGAGATGTAAGTTCCACTTGATCAGCTTCTTCCCATGAATGACTGCTTTGTGAAATGGACTCCCAAGAGAATGCTTCCCTGATCACTACAATCATAACCTGTACAAGTCTAGGATTCCAGTGGTTCCCAACTATTTTTTTTTCACCATGTCCCACCTAAGCATCTCTAAAATTCTGACATCTGACTGTTGAAAGAAGACTTCAAAAGTAGCGACTTTTCTTGAAAATGAACAAAATTTGGTATTATGGCACTATCAAGTACCTGCAGAACAAGGGTTTAGCCCCCAAGGGCATTCATGCTGACATGGTTGCTACATTAGCAGATGACACTCCAGCTTTATCAAAAGTGTAAAAGTGGGCAGCTGAATTTAGGAGGGGCATGGAGAGTCTTGAGGATGACCCAAGGTCTGGAGATCCTGCAACTACCACCACCGAGGGAAACATTGATTGTGTTCACCACATGGTGATGGATGACATACTATTGACTATAAATCAAATAGCCAATGCTCTTAGTATATCCTGTGAGAGAGTTGAGAATATTCTGAACAATGAACTTGTCCTGATGAAGGTTTCTGCTTGGTGGGTACCATGTCATCTGACACCTGATCAAAAGCGCAACATTGTTTGACGCGGATCCAACTGATTTCCCTGAATGTTTCCTAACACAGGATGAGTACTGGGTTCATCACTTTGAGCCAGCGACAAAGAGATAATCCATGAAATGGAAATACCCCTCCTCACCTGCACCAAAGAAGGCCAAGGTCATTTTATCTTCAGGGAAGGTGATGATCTCAACATTTTTTAATTCAAAAGGCATTGTGTTTATTGGCTATCTTCAAAAAGGTCACACCATCAATGGAAAGTAATTTGCCAACTTGTTGAAACAGTTATGAAAGGCTATCAAGACTAAACTTTAGGAAAACTGATGAAAGGGGTTTTGTTTGAACTGAGCAATGCTCCAGCACACAAGTCCTTGGTTTGAATGGCTACTGTGTGTGGCTTTTGAACTGATCACTCTCCCTAATCTCCAGACATGAAAAAAACACTTGGCTGGGAAATAGTATCACAGTGATGATGACATCATATCTGCTGTTGAAAACTTTTTTTACCAATTGTATGAAGGCTTCTTCACCAATAGAATCCAAGCACTGCAACACCAATGGAAGATGCGTGTGAACAGCAAGGTGGACTATATACCTCATTCTATTTTTTAATATCTCCCTAAATTTCTTAATATTTCTCACAACTGTTTATTTATTTAATCTTTATTTCTTTTGATTAAATTATGAAAGGTTAACAAGAACAAATTAATGAAAGATCTTGTTCCAGGAGGCTAATGTTCCAGCATACAATGGCTGTTGTGTGTGAGTGTGACTTTGAACTGGTTGATCACCCTCCCTATTCTCCTGAGTGTCTCCCTCTGACTATTATCTGTTCCCCAACAGAAAAAAAGTACTTGGCTGGGAACTAGTATCGCAGTAATGATGACATCATATCTGCTTTGATGACTTTTTGACCAACAGGATGAAATCTTTATCTCTAATGGGATCCAAGCACTGCAACACCAATGGAAGAAGTATGTGGATTGCAAGAGGAACTATGTTTAAAAATAGGCCTCATTTGGTCACATTCCATAAGAGTATTTTGGTCAGTGTATGAACTTTTCAGTTGACCCTCAGACATACAGAAATGTTTCCAAAAAGTTTGTTCATGAGATAATAGCCTTGGAAACAAACCAAGTGAATTGATCTGTCTTTCTTACAGCACTGAATATTTAACTGTTTCATACTATATCGCAATTGGCTCAATGAATAAAAAACAACATTCCTGCTTTCCCTCCAGAGGTCAATGTACTGATAAGAAGACGGGAGGTTATAGATTGATTTGTTTTTTATGGTTTATCAACCTTTTGAAGGATATTTAAAGCTAGCAAATACTTTTTGGATTGTAAGAATTTTGATAATAATTTTCTGATACATGTCTATTTAACTCATAGCTGGAGGAAGAAGAGGTGGATTTATACCTTTTCCAAGGGTATTTGTTGCATAAATAAATGTAACAAACCTGACTGGAATTGGAACATAGCTCTCAGATTTATCATTCAAAGTCATCCAAAGTTACAGCATCTGGTATTCCAAGTAGTCACCCATCTAAGTACTGACCAGGGTTAACATTGCTTAACTTGGGTGATTGTAACAAATTATAATTTGAATTCTCTCTGGTCACTATTTTCTTCTGATATATGTAATTTTACCCTTCGGAAAGGTATAACGATTTCTTTTTTCTTTTTCTCCTCTTCCCAACTATGAATTGAACAGCAGGACAGACTCAGCCATGCTTGATTGGCAACCTGTCTACTGCAGGAGAAACGTCAGTAATCTTGGATCTTTGTAGTCACAAAAAAAAACAAACAATAAACATTGCTGAGGAGTGAAGGTAGTTAAAATAATAGTGGTGTCAACAGAAAAACCATTCTTTTGACACTACGTTCTTTTGCAGGCAAGATTGCTGAAACGGCAGCTTATTGTAGAAAATCTTCTAGCTGGTTGGTCATGAATTGAACGAGCTAATGGAGTTAAATAATGCGATATCACATTGGGTAAATCACTAGTTAATGGGGGTTACAAATATCAAGATGTATCGGTTAATTACCAGATAATATATTTTTTTTTTTTTTAATAAGCATTTCAACCCAAGGAAGATGGGAGTGCCACTAGCACATAATGGGTTACAGAGAGTGGGAGCAAGAGTAAAGAGGCGTGATAGAGGAAAAGATGAAGAGAAGGATGGGGAACAGATCAAGGCATCTAGAGATGTCAATTGACATTGCATTTGAATAGTTGGAGATTATAGCTATCAGAGAAGCAAGTAACAGGAAGGAAGTTCCCCATACGGGAAGTCCGAGACATGAAGCTATTGAAGAAGAAGAGACGGCTACATTTAACCGTTTCGACAATGAAAGGGTGGGACTGAGATACCAACCTAGTAGCATGTTTAAATTAATGCAGTTTGGGAACCAGCGAAAGTTGCTTGTTGGAGCAGTTACTGTGAAAGTATTTGTAGAAAAGACAGAGGGAAGTGACAGCATATCTGTGAGAAAGTTACTGTAGATGAGATGCCAGATCAGGGCCAATCACATTGCATATCCATCTCTGGATTTTGTTGAGGACCTTAAGATGAACAGTAGGGGTTCCAGACCATACAAAGGACATGTTATTGAAGAAAGGAATATTCTCCCAGTTTGCATTTCCCCCATTATTGGCATTATTATATCCATGATATAATAACACATTATTCTGTGGACTGAACAGAACAGCTGAAAGAAAAAGAACATGCTTTGTTCTCTTATTAGCAGTTTTATGATGCTAAGTCATACACAAAATTATATATACATATTTACCTGTGTTTTACACAGAGAAACTATAACACATCTACATAAACATTGTGAAAAAGAAATGAAAAGATAGGGTCTTGTAATAATTCCCAATGGGAATTAGAGCTGCTGGAGATTATTCAGTGTTTCTGGAGAAGCTATATTTAGGATTCCAGATTCAAGTGGGCCAGATGTTACTAGCTTGGACATATTCCGCAAATAAGAAAATAGTGAGTCAATGGTTTTTTTCCCAAATTAAGGACTGCGAGACGGAGATAGTTTCTATATCTGGTGATGATAATATTTCCAAAGTAAAACAGTGTGATGGGCTTTTAAGCTGAATAACATGGCAGCTGGCTGGCCTATGCAGAACAAGCAACTCGCATCTCATGACTCCTGGCAGTTAACTGATGAACTGGTTATTTTCATCACTAAGCAACAGTCATGTGACCTACATGACTTCTTGAATAAAGGGAGATAATCGCCTTTGGATCCCTACAGATCAATGATTGCTCAAGCATGTATCATGTAGGGCACTTGATTTTTATATACAATTTATTTTTCTTAGTATAACTTAGGTTACTATATCAAATGACTATTTTTTACATTTCATTTTAACATTTTCCTCTGTACAAATCCCAATGATTTGTTCACAGATATTTATTTACAATTCTTTTACATGTTAACTTTTGAGAAAATTTTATAATTCAACATAGTATTTTTAAGTAGCAAGGTTGCCATGGTAACAATTTATTCCTAAGATGTTTTTTTTAGTTGTTCTGATGTTCTTACTGAATGAAACATTGACAGAATAAAATTTGTTCTCATACAGGGTGTCCATAAAGTTCGTGTGCACTTTAAAAAATTTATAACTTTATTTGCAATAGAAATAATTTGTAAAAAGGATTAGAAAGAAGTAAATCTATATTTTTAAAGGTTTTATTGAAATTTTATTTAAGTTTCTACATGTCCTCCATCATTAGCAATACAAAGGGTAATACGATTTTGAAGTTCACGGAAAACATTTGCCAACTGATTTACAGTAATGCCTGAAATCACATTAGTTATTTTAGCTATAATTAAAACTAGGTACATTAAACTTTATAACATTTTTTACAGATTATTTCTATCGCAAATACAAATAATGTTATAAATTTTTTAAAGTGCACACGAACTTTATGGACACCCTGTATATTCCATATTAATCATTTTATCAGGGATAAAACTATGACAAAAGTTCACAATAAATACAAATACTGCAGTTTCAACAGCCAATCGTTTTTTGCCTTTTTATTTAATTGGAACATTACTTACTGCAAGTGCAATTCGTCTTTGCCTCTCTTCCTCTTCTTCAGCAGCTTTTGCTTCATCACGACGAACTCTTTCAATGTTTTTCTTCGTACGAACATGCCAACTAAAAAAACATATGAAACCAATAATTGGCACCTGTGTAGGTTGTCAACCAAAATACGCATGTTTAATCAACGTCACTCATTCAGAAGTTAGAAATTTCATGATAAAAGAACAAAGTAGATCAATGTATACAAACACAGAAAACATTAAAAAGCAAATCATTAAACCAAGATTGATTGATTCATTTATTTATGGCTTATCAACCCAAAGCTGGTTGTTTAAAGCCAGAAAATATTTTTAGATTGTAAGAATTATTTTGGGGAGAAAATAATGGTTTAGTGATAAATTCTTACTAATTAACCCAAAGTTAGGGGGAGAAGAGGTAGATTCATATATTCCTCAATGGTATTTGTGCATAAGTGAATACAATGAAAAGTTCTAAGCCTGACCAAGAATGATTGATTTGCTTTTTTTTTTTTATAGCTTATCAAACTTTTGCAGGTTATTTAAAGCCAAAAAATATTTTTAGATTGTAAGAATTTTTTGGCGATAAAAATGACTTATTGATACATGTTCTATAGCAGGGGGGGGGGTAGATTCATACTTTTTGCAAGGGTAGTTGGTACATGAGTGAATATAGCAAACCCAACTGGAATTGGAACTCAGCTCTCTGGTTAACAATTCAGAGTTGTTATCCATTACACCACCCACACATCCAAACTTACAGCATCTTGTATTCCCAAGTGGTCACTCATATAGGTACTGACCAGGCTCAACATTGCTTAATTTTGGTGATCGTATAGAAACCAGTGTTTCAATGTAATGTAGCTGTAAGACGAACCAAGTTTGAATTTTAGCTAGGCCTGTTTATGCATACTTGTACTATGCCCTTGTGAAAGGCATGAACCCACTTCTCCGTACATTATATCCTATCACAAGCAGGCCATGACGGTTGAGAGAGAGAGAGAGAAGAGAGTGGGTGAGTGTGAGCTTCGACATGCCACTCTCTCTCAAAAGTAAAAATAAAAAGATAAAGTGCTCATCTTGTTCTTTTTAAATTTTATTTTAAATAAAATTAAAAATATAATAATTGCTGGTTACCACTCATTTATGAGTACACCTCAGTGGCGTAGCTAAGGGGGGGAGGGGGGAGGACCGCCCCGGGTGCCAGCACAAGAGGGGTGACACAATGTCACCCCCCAACAAAATTTTCCAACCAGGCTAAGGTGCCAAAAATAGTCTGAAAACAGTGGTGGAGACACAGGGTTTCAGGGCGGGCATATGACTCCCCAGAAATAATTTATGACCCCCCCAGTTTTGTCCCCCCCTCAGAAATTTTCTGATAAATTGTCAGGAAATTTGTGAGTAGGAAAAATAGCAATGTTTTCAGCTTTTGATTTGAACTGATTATTTTGTGGTATTTGATTTTGTCTTGGATCATACATGTAAACATTAACATACCGGTCAGTAGAGTAAAGTAGAGGTAGAGCATGTATGAAAATTTAGCTACAGCTAACCATTCAGCATAGGGTGAATCGGGGTTATTGGGGTGACATTTGAGCGGACCGCCCCGGGTGATGTTTACTCTAGCTTTTCGTTTCATCTTTTGGAAGTGCTATCTGATGGTCCGGCGTCCTTTAAAAGGGCTCTGGTGAAATAAATTATTATAATGGAACCTTAAAGTGGTCTGTTTTTCTTTAAAATATATATAACTTAATGGAAGTGATATACTGAAATGGGAGGGGAGAAGAGAGAAAAAGAAAAAAGAAAGAAGGGGGAAGTAAAGAGACAGAAGGTGTAATTAGGTTTTACATAGGAAAAAGCGGGGTGGTATATTTTTAGCAATTTATGTAAAAAAATAAATTTTAATGTTTGATAGTAATTTAAAAGTTCAACCCCCACCTCACAAAGTAATTAATTTGATGCTTGCTAGCAATTTAGATATTTAACTCTTTTACAAATAATTTAGGGATTTAATATAACTTAAGTACTGTATTTATTAACACATTCATAGAGAACACATTAAAAGAATATTTAAAATATAACAGTTTACTGATAGTAATCTTTTAATATTGTAAATGACTGTTAAGGTAACATCTTTATCAGTTTGAATCTAATTCATGAATGTAATTTGTAACTATTATATATATATATATATATATATATATGTAATTTTGTTTGAGGCTTAAAAGGACATCATCATCATCAGTCCCACAACAGAAATACATAAATTATAAATAAATCATATCCAAGATACAATAAGCATAAATAAAAACAATAAAAGGCTTTCATATTTCAGAGAAAAAATTGTATATTCTAAAGAACATAAGAATACAGAGATAAAAGTTTTTTCTTATCTAGTTTGGTAGCAGAGTGCCGTGCCTTTAGCCATCAAAGGTGAAGAGGGAGAACTTGATTTCTGTTTCAATTAATTTTTCTTTTATTATTATTTATTTTGGTTTCATACCCCTATATGGTCCGGTATGGTGATTCCCTAATGGTGTGGCATGCCTCATAGGTACGGTTAAAGAGGTAGCAGGTGAGGCGGAATGATTGAAAGACAATCAAAGATTTACAAACAGTTTCAAAAAATTCATATGCCAAAAATAAATATGATTTCATAATTTAAAATATTAAATTGCTTGTAATTGCCTGCATTAGTCCTAGCATAAATAGTTATTAATAATTAGTGACTACTTTTATCATTGTGATATTTTTGCATTATACCAAGTCTTAAGAATATAGTAACTAGGGTCCAAAAAATTGGAAAAGAGTTATCAATGATAATGCTGACTTTGAATTCGTGATTACCTATCTTTAACTCTGTTTTTTTTTTTTTTTATCTTTAAATGTTCTTTTTATCACATAAAATTTGGTGAGGCACAAGCAAATTTTCATTCCGAAAATGCAGCCCAGAGAAGAAAGTTTGAGAACTACTGATCTAGTACCAAGAGTTAGAAGTTATTTAGTGATTTATTTGTCACTATCATTACACTGTTATTACAAAACATTTCTGTAATAAATCTTAGGTCTTAAAACCCAATGGACTAAGGTTTTGACCAAATTGATTTTACATCTTGTTAATAGAAACTCATTTTACTGATTAAACGTCTTTGAGTTGAGTTCTGTCAGATGTTAAATAATTATTCACACATTCACATACACTATGAACTTTTACAAACTTTTCCAACCTTCCACTCACACACATCACTCACATAATCTTTTCTTACACAGCAAAATCTTCTGAGAACATTCTTCCAGGAACTTTGAAATACAATTAATAGTTAAAGAGAGACAACTCTTGTTTTATTCAAACTTTTCTTTCTTAAATGCTTGCTTTCTTTCACACGCCCTTGTTTGATATGTACATCTTGTTAAATAAATATTTTATGTGTAATGATGTCTTTTGATTATCCTTTTCCATGTCAGTTTTGTTTCCTAATCTAAAGTTAAATTAATGTGGTGAAGTCCGCCACAAGATGACCTGACAAAGTAGGGGTCTTCATCCGGGCTTTTGTTGCTTGGCACCAGAAGAATGAAGCAAGGTGGCTGGCTGAAGTAAGTTGTTGTAGAAATCGAGTTCAGAGCTGTTTCATGGAACATGTATGTAAGTATGCCACAAAACCCCAGCAACTCCCAACTGAAGTTACTTTGAATTAATTTTAGCTTCTTGCTGGTAAGCTTTTTTATTTCCTTTTTAGGCCACTGACTACAACACTAAATTAAAATGAAATTTCTTTTCTCTACTACTTTTCCGGGTTTGGTCTATTTTGTTTAGGTAAGTATGGGCTCTAATTTGGGACCAGAGAAAATCTCTAATACATCCGGGTTTCTCTTATATCCGGGTTACACTGTACTTAGTCTTCTTGTCATTCTCTTTACTTTATTTCTTTTGTCGCACATGTGACAATCTCCTGAGACAAAAGGAGTCCCAATGAGTATATAAACTTGAAAACATGTACTTCATACACTCTACATCATGTAATAAATTTAGAATTAAGTCTATATATGAAGACATCCAGAAAAAAATAGAACAACATCTTCCATTCAATAGTAAACTGAAAAGAAGGTTGCAAACTATTCAATATTGCTATTATTGCATGAAACACTTTTTTTTTCCATTTTTTTTTTTTTTTTTTTTTTAAATCATTTTACCCCAAGGCAATAGAGCTACTATAATATTACTGAGTGTTACAGAATATGACAAAAAACTATTAAGGAGAGAGAACAGTAAAAGAAAGGTAATTAAGACAGAATTCAGAATCATCATTGAACACACACAAAAAGTGTCAAGTTGAAAATTTTTGTTCATAAAAACACCGCTTAAAAAAATTTTCCATGGCGAGTCCCAAAAAGGGCTATCCATAGCTACTGGTCAATTTGTCGTTACATATTGTTGAAGAAGCTGAACTCCACTCGTGAATCCCTTGACCCTTCATGGTTGTAGGAGCATCATATGTATTGCAACTACAGTAGAAGTGGTGTTTCTTGGGCAAGACAGCCCAACGGACCCCAACCTTTTCCAGGTCTTTTTTTTTTGTTTGAATTCAGAGTTACCTTCTCATAGACCGGTTGCCACCCAACGCTATAGAACTCAGTCTGTCCTATATAGCTTTGGGGAGAAGAAGAGAATTCATATCTTTCCCGAAAGGGTAAGTAAATGTAATGGATTCGACTGGAATTCGAATTCATTCGGCTCTCCGATTCCGCAATCCGAGCCACTATCCATTACTCCACCGACATGGTAGCAAAGCTAACGAAGACAGTTTCTGAAATAAATCGGGAGAGAAAGACGACTACGATACAAAGCATTAGCACATAGTTTCCTGAAAACGAACGCAAGAAAATAAATTGCTGATGTCGAACGAACACATGAAGTTATCTTGGGAAGAGAAAGGACAATTTTGTTTTTGTAAACGAAATAGAGTGAATACATGTCTAGCACAGGTTGGTCAATTTATGCTGGACAGACCCAACCATTAACAAGTCTGTTCGGACAGGGATATTCGCCTTCCCTTATTGTTTTATTTTTAACATGAATAGCTATGGTCGCCACGAACCCAAGGACCTAAAAAATTCCTAAGGGAATTCAGAATTTTCCTTCGCTTAGACAAAAAAAACCCCTCATAATCTCGTCTTTACCATGACAATTCATAAACTGTTTAGTTTTAAAAACAAAATATCAAATAAAAATAAAGCCGTGGATCGACATTGTTTATAGAAAGCCGACAATGATTGTTTATTCTTTGTTTAAATAATTTGCTAAGACATAGGCCAAAAAATGAAAAAAAAGCTATGGAAACAAGATTTTTTTTTTCTAAAACAAGACATAAGTTTAATTTTTTTGTTATTTCAACAACTCAATTTATCATCAAAAAATAAAAACCTTAAAAAACAGTAATAAACGTTAAATTCAATAGACAACGAATATTTAAAAAATTGAAGTATATGTATAACCTTTTGTGTGGTAGAATATTCATTGTATGTTTTCTTGTCTAAGGAAAAGAAAACAATCTCCTTTTAAAAGTACCAAAAATACTTTACTTTTTGTTGTGGAAATCTTCATTATCCAAAGTGACAAAAAGTCTCAAGAAAACGGTGAAAAACGAAAAAATGTTTCCATTGATATAATAGTCCGGACCAAACAACTCGTTCAGTATAAATTTTGAATTAGATGATTTGGATAACGAAAAAGTTCGAAGGATTTATTTAAATAAAAATAAAAGACAATTTTTTTTGTGTGTGTTTCTTTTTAAAAATTATTCACTATATATATATATATATATATATATATATATATATATATATATATATCCTATGCCATGAAACCTAGTCTGGAATTTCAGCTACAACTGTGTGACCATGTATGCCTATCCCACATTGGACATATCAGTCACAAATGGGTTTGCAAGTGACATGTCCCAACTTTATTTTCGTTTTGTGAAGCCAAGCCATGATATATATACAGTGTAACCCGGATATAAGAGAGTTGTCGGGACCGGAGAAGAAGTCTCTTATATCCGGGTTTGGTCTATTTTGTTTAGGTAAGTATGGCTCTAATTTGGGACCAGAGAAAATCTCTCTTATATCCGGGTTACACTATATATATATATATATATATATATATATATATATATATATACATTCACTATATATCTATAATCTATATGTGTGTGTTACTTTTGATTTATATATTACGATTCACTATATGTGTTACTTTTGATTTATCTATTCTCTCTCTCTCTATATATATATGTGTGTGTGTATATATATATATATATATATATATATATTATATATATTATAATAAAAAGAAAGAACAGTAAGATATATAATCTGGTGTTCTTATTAATATTGTTATATTTACAAAATAGTGCTCAATGCAATTCTACAGAGTATAAATATTATAAATTTACTAATTTAAAACTATATACTACTAGGATTATAAAAAATAAAAATTTACTTAATCAAAGAAATGAAATAGCTATTCTTTGCCGACATTGTCAAAAATTTTCCTTAAAATAAAAAAAAAACTGATGAATGAAATATACATATTTATATTTGATAATTTTTGAATAACTTAAGTAATTCTATTACATTTATTTGTTTTAAAAGATGTATAGTCTATTAGTAATTAAAATTAAGAATAATATTTTAAAATTGTAGTTCAATACAATGTATTCATATACAAACAACCCTTTTAGAAAAATTCTTTATGTATACAAGTATAAATTTAACAGCAAAACAAAAGTGCCGAAAAACTTTCTGATGCTGAAAAAGACCAGATGACATGTATTGAACGGATGTCATCATTCATCGGAAAAAGCACTCCTACCCTACCTTGACTTAACCTCTTTTTGAAAGTAATACAAGAGTTGTCAGTGAAAATGAATACCCTACCACCTTTTGTTAAAATGACTGGATTTCCCCATATCCTTAGAAACTAATATTATGAATGTATGTGCTTATAAAACTCAGAAAATTTCAAAATCAGTTATTCCAAAATTCGCTTGAAAATGAAACAGAACTAGGGACTTTAATTTAATTCTATGATAGAATTTGAGGTTTTTAGCTTCTGTTTTTGAAACATGGTAATTCCTGTGTAGCAATGGAACCATATTTTTAAATTAGTAAATTTATAATATATATATATATATATATATATATATATATATATATATATATATATAAACAAATATATATATATATATTACTTTTGATTTATCTATATGCTAGGGTGTGAAGAATACATTGTTGCCATTTACTTTCATGCTTGCATGTTGTTTGTTCTTGATTTTGTTGACTACACAAGTATAGTAGGGTCAGTTGGGCATCGTCTGTGAGAAAGAGAGCATCATGACACAATTCACTCTGCCAGAAATTTGCAAACAGTATGCTGTACTGTTTGGCATTCGCACTGGAAACTCCAATATGACTATTTCAGTGTTTTGGCGTCAATCTGAGAACAGTGCAGAGGATTCAGAAAGAGTTGGATGAGTCTAATTGTGATTACAAAGGTACGGCAACTTGAAAAACTCACTCTGGTTGTTCTGATAAGGAAACAACTCCTGGATTTGTTGGTGAGAGCTTCAGACTCAGCATGAAGGCCTACATCCAGTGCTTGAGGTGATAGTGTTGCCTTGGGTCAAGAGGGCAACTGCTAGGAGACCGTATATCTGGCAACAGGACTGTGCACCATGTCACACAAGCAGGAGAACTCAGTCATGGCTGTCAGACAATTTCTGCAACCACATCACCCCCTTACATCTGGCCACCTAATTCCCTAGACTGCAACATCTTTGATTATTATGTGTGGGTCACAGTTGAGTGAGAAATCAACAAAACTCCTTGTAACACGAAAGATGAACAGAAGGCAAGGATTATGACACCATTCACCAACTTAAACAAGGAGACCGTCCAGAATATCATCATCATTCTGGATTCATTTTTTATCATGTGTTGCAATACAATCAAGAAATGGGTCATTTCTGTAGTTCAAACGAAGAGCCAAACAAATTTCATAACAACGATTCTTTTGTGGTGCGTGTTCTTAGCGCATATATCTAACGTACATTTAATGATTCAAGAAAAAACAATGAAACACCATATGTGGATCAAGAAATATATATATATATATTGAAATATAACAAACAAAACAATCCTGCAATGAAGTGTAATGATTAAGGAGAAAAAAGTTGTTCCCTTTCAACTGTATTCTGATTTATGATTGAATGTTCGAAAGAGTTTCTCATGAATAAGAATGTTCAGGATTCTATGTTGAATAGAGTTTGCTGTTAGAATAGAATACAGTTAATTAAGAAATGTGTTGTTTAGAGAAATTAATAGAGTTCTGGTTCATGAACTTAGCTGAGTCACAGAGAGAGATATGTATAATGTGTTACAAAAATCTGTGTCTGTGTGTATTTGAAATGTTGTGAATAAAGTTGTAGATTTGTGTGGACAGGAGAAAATAACTGGACTCTACTGGTGTGTTGTGGAAAAATTGCTTCTTTTAAAGGTAATGATAGGCTCTGAGTGAAAACGTGGGAAAAATTGATTTAGCATTAAAATGTTTGATCGGTTAAAAATTTGACCAATTACTGATTTTGTATCAAAGAAACATGTGAGCAAGTTTGTGACTGAAAAATTTAAAGTGATGACTGCGATTGCTAAATTGTATTATAGAAAAGCAGTATTGATTTACTAGCCAAATAAATTGTGGACGTAGAAAAGCATAGCAGTCGCTACACTTTTGCTTTTCGTTCAATTCATATTTCACTCATTTGTCCACCCAACTTCTCAGACTTTCAAATTTTGTTCAAATGTTCAGAAATTGATCCAATACTTGTAGCAAGTTCCTGAACAGTATTGCAAAAATTTACTGCCACTAATGTCTTCAATTTCCTATCTTTAATGAAAGGCTAACATTCACGACTTATCTTCAAGGCTGGCTTCACCATGAAATTTCTGAAAATTTTCGTTAACAGATCTGTAGGTACATTATTATTATTAATAAATAAAAATAAAATAATGATAATAATGAATATTATAAACAAAATAAGATGAAACAAATAACAAAAACTTTGCTTAAAATAAATTAAATAAAAAAATAAAAGATAATAAAAAGTTCTCCCAGCTTGTAGCAGAAGCTGTTCCTGTCAGAAAACAGATATCCCACCAAAAGACATTGAATTCAATCTTGTCACTACCAACCTTAGGATAGTCAAAACATCCACAATTTTTCTCTCTAGGACATTGCTTGTGATAATACTAAGGACTCCTTCCTTTTATTACATGTAATCTTAAAAACAATTGTAACCAAAAATACAGACACCAGGACACACAAAAATAAATTGTATGATATCAATTTACAATTTAACATGACTTTGCTGTTATCTTTGTGTATATTTTATTCCTGTGAAGTATGTTTTTATTTCCTGTGAACACAAGGCTATTTCTGCAGCTATCATGTGAGTGACCCCAGGTCCTTTTCCCAAAATTTTACTAATAATTCAAGCAGTCTGAGCTGTACTGTGGCCAAGATTATATTCATAAAAGTGAATTTAACAAATTCTTAGTTAAGTGGATGGAAGAAATATGTATGCAGTAAGTGAAAAAAATTGATCCTTTAGAAAAAAAAAAAAGAATATAAAATACTCTTTAAAACCAGGGTTCATATGCACCCCCACAGTAATATTCTAGTGGTCTAAAGAGCAATTTCACTTACAACTGAGAATTGGAATTTCTACAGTTATCTATGCCATATTAACATTCAGCACTCTACGTCATCTTTAAATAAATCCTCCATTTTTATTGCATATGGAATCTCCTTAAAAGATAGTCTTTTACATATTAGTTCTGTATATGTGAAATTATAGTAGCCTGGTTCTCAGTTTCAATTAATATTGTTTTAGGTGTTACCATAGAAAGATATAAATACACATCCAAGAAATTCAAATTCAACTTGCATTGGCAGAAATAACTTTTTGCTTGGCAACAGAGTGCTAAAGTTTAAAATACTAAAAATAGAAAAAGATTAAAACTAGCAGAAAAATGTTGTAAGATAGTGTTCCTTTTATTCTACTGGATATTTTGATTGTAAAAGTTGAATAAAAATTGACTGAGAAGAATATATAAAGGAAGGATTATATATATATATATATATATATATATATATATAGTGGTAGTGGTAGAAACTCTGACTGACACCAAATTGGTTGGGTTCCAATCCTGGCTTGATGCATTTGGATGCCTAGTTGCACTGAGGAGCGGTGATACAATGGAACAGTACTGTCAGTGAATGACATAATTTAGCTCATGAAAAAATACATTTCAATTGAGCACTGCTGAGTGACAAGCTAATTCTATAAACAACAGTCAACTGTGCTAATGCAAAGCTCTTCAGTAAAATGAATAGAGCACTCCAGCTGATTGGCATTTGTTTACATTCGTAAAAACAATATGCTAGATTTAGCTGCTT